CCACAAACAAGCTCTTAGCTTTTTCCCTTAGTCAATTAGTGGTAGTGACTTTAACCTACTGTTAGAAAAAAGAAGATTAATTTAATTTGGACAAAGTAAAATTTGGAAAACTGAATAATGCACAAAGACAAAAGCTAAATTTCAAAGCCAAGTAAGAAATTCAGTAGAAACTATTTCAAATTCTTGATTGATTACTGAGATTATGAAAGATATAACTATATTTAATAGTTAAAAGCCAAAGGTTTTAGGAAGTCTGAAAAGGCAAGCTAGAATAAAGAATAGATGCTCTCAGATGGGTTGCAAAGGTTATACCATTCAGAATGGAGCTAGTAAGATGTGACAGGAAAGTGAAATTGTTGATTTCAGAAAAGTAACTTCATAATTACATATTAATGTTGATTCCAATATAATTTCAATTATAGCAGAAAGGAAGCAGTTTATATCTATCAATTAAATTTGGAGGCTCAGACTTATAAACCAAATAATCTTAAAACTTGGGAGTAAACTAAAATCAAGTTATTCCTCTGTGTGCATAAAACATTCACAGCTCTTTGTGAAAATAATTTTTACAACAGAAGTTTTGAAATAAGAAAATAAAAATTTAAAAGTAACCTTCTGACCCAGAAAGAATTGACACCATTTAGAAATCAAAGATAACCTAAATAAATAGACATACTGTGTTTAAGAATTGGGAGATTCAATATAGTAAAGATGTCATTCTTCACAAATCAATTTAATGCAATTCTTATCAACATACCAGGAAGGTGTTTGTACACATAAACAAGTTTATTCTAAAATTTATATGGGAAGGCAAAGGACCTAAAGTAGCTAAAAATTTTTAAACAAAGTGTAACATGAGAAGAATCACTATATCTGGCATTAAGGCATACTAGGAATCCTTAAATTAAGACAGTATGGTAATGATAGAAGGAGGAACACATAGATTAATAGAACAGAACAGAGAATCTAGAAATAAACCCACAAAAATGTGTCCAACTAATTTTTGATAAAAGTGTCAAAGCAATACAATGGAGGAAGAATAGCCTTTTTTTAACAAATGGGGCTAGAGCAACTGGGCATCCACAGACCCCCCCCCCCCCCCAAAATAAAAGCCTGAACCTAAATCTCGACACCCTGCCCCAAAATTAAACTCAAAATATAAATCCTGGACTTAAAACAAAATCTTTATAAAATACCAAATTGTGGGGCCGGGGTTGTGGCTCAGTAGTGGAGCGCTTGCCTAGCATGCGTGAGGCACTGGGTTTGATCCCTGGCTCCACATATAATAAAAAAATAAAATGAAGGTATTGTGTCCATCTACACCTACAAAAAAACTTTTTTAAAATACCAAATTGTATACCTTAAATGTGTGTGTGTATGTGTGTGTGTGTAAAATTTTCGTCAATTATACCTCAGTAAAACTGGAGGAAAGTCCTTTTGGGAAAAGTACAGGCGATAGATACTCTGAGGCAACTGGGATAGAGGCAAAGAGTTCCTAGGCTTAACACCAAAGCACAGTCAATAAGAAAAAAATATGATATATATGATCACATCAAAATTTAAAACTCTCTCAGAAGACTGTGAAGAGGAGGAGAAGACAAGCTACAGATTGGGAGAACATATTTACAAATCACACATCTGAAAAAGGACTTGTGTCAAGAATATATAAAGAACTCTAAAAAATCCACAGGAAAAGCATAATAATCCAATTAGAAAAATGACAAAACAGGGCTGGGGTTGTGGCTCAGTGGTAGAGATCTTGCCTAGCACATGTGAGGCACTGGGTTCAATCCTCAGGACCATATAAAAATAAATAAATAAAATAAAGGTATTGTGCCCATCCACAAAATAATAATAATAATTAATTTTTTAAATGGCAAAACAAAGAAAATAAATAGACCTACAGATATTGAATAAGCACATAAAAAGATTATCCATCCTCAGCCATTAGGAAAATGCAAATTAAATCACAGTTAGATGGTATTACACAGCTATTAGAATGGCTGAAATTAAAAACAGCATAAACTCCAAACACTGACAAGAATATGGAAAATGGACAGTTAAATATTGCTGGTGTGTAAAATGGTACCACTACTCTAGAACAGAATGGCGTTTTATACAGAACCAAACATATATTTATCTTACAACCCAGCAGGTATACTTTTAGACATATAGCTCAGAGAAATAAAAACTTTTGTTCACACAAAAATCTGTATATGAATACTCATAGCAGTTTTGTTAGTTAATAGCCAAAAACTGGAAATAAACCAAATGCCCTTCAACAGGATACATTGCAACACTCCGCAGTACATCTATACCATGGAATAATACTTGGGAATAAAAAGAAACTACTGACACATTCAACAACTTGGATGAGTGTATATGTGAAATCTGCCAACATCAAAGGTTACATGCTGTATAATTCTATTTGTATAACATTCTTAAAATGACAAAACTATAGAAATGGAAAATGGATTAGTAAATGCCAGAAGTTAGAGGGGAAGGGAAGAGGTAGCAATGGCTATATCAGGGTAACACAAAAGATCCCTGTAATGAAACTATTAAGTATCTTGAATGTGTTCATGGTCACACAAGTCTGTACATTTGATAAAATTTTATGTAACTACACACACAAATATATATATCATCAAAAGCTGAATAAGTTTGATGGATTATATTAATGAATCACAACCAATTTCTTCATTAGAATGTTGTATTATAGTTATGTAATATGTTACCACTGGGGAAAACTAAGTAAAAAGTATATGGAATCTTTCTTATAATTTTCTTACATATGCATGCCCAACTACAGTGAACTTAAAATATTAAGATTTTAAAAATCCAGTATGAAAAACAGATTGAGGACACTATATTGTTAACTGTTTCAAAGACTTATCATTACAGATGAAAGATTTTTGTGCTCCCAAGTGAACAGTCCTATCTACAACTTATTTTCATCTACAACTTGGAATCCACACACTTATTCCCATTTTTCCTATCCTTGTTTCTGCTCTCTCCTCTACCACCCACCCATCAACCTCCTTCATAACTGGCTATAAGAGAGAACTGCAATTTACAGCTGTTTATATGTATGTATGCACTGTAATTTCTTTCTTTCTCTGTAGTTTTATTCATCCTCTCTGTTTTTACCACATATATTAATCAGCATTTTGGATTATTTATTTATTTATTCATTTTGGGGTGCCAGGGATTGAAGTCACGGGCACTCAACCACTGAGCCACATCCCCAACCCTATTTCGTATTTTATTTAAAGACAAGGTCTCACTGAGTTGCTTAGTGCCCCGCTAAATTGCTGAGGTTGGCTTTGAACTCTTAATCCTCCCTCCTCCGCGCTTGCCACTGGGATTACAGGCCTAGGCCATCACACCAGGCCATGGTTTATTTATTCCTAATTTAAAAATCCATTATGTGGCACATGTTCTAATTCCCTTTAAAAAGTAATTCAATTCATGTCTTCATAAATGTTCTTTGGATAATGATGTCCATCACATTCCACCATTATTGATAACCTTCTACTCCCTCCCTGGTGTGAACAAACTTTATATACAAATAGAGATATGAAAAATTGTGTTCTATATATGTGATAAGAATTGTAATGCATTCTTCTGTCATGTATTTAAAAAATAAAATCAGTTAAAAAACAAAAATTTGTTCTAACCCCTTGAGGGGGTCTAAGGATATGGACTTGCAGCCTGTTCCTTGGCGCACCTGCTGGTGAATCTGCACCAACAGCTTGTGAATAAATGTTTCATATCCTGCTTAAATAAACAAATAAATAAATAGATAGATAGATAAATGAATGAATAAATAAATAAATAATTCAAGGAGCTGGGGTTATAGCTCAGTAGTACAGCACTTGCCTAGCATGTGTGAGGCACGAGGCTCAATTCTCAGCACCACATAAAAATAAGTAAAATAAAGGTCCATTGATAAGTAAAAAGAAAGAAAGAAAGTACTTTAAAAACAAGAAAGTAATTCAAGTGCCAATTCCTTATTGAATGATGATAATTGCTTTCAGTCCCCATCCCACCCCATGGTAAATAACCCTAACATAATGACTGCAAAATTTAGAGAATAAACTAGGAATCTTTTCTGTCCACTAATACACACTGTATTTAATAAGCCACTGCCCCTGTGCATGGCATTGGTATACCAGCCATGCTTATTATACAGACTAAGTACTATAACAGGCTATGTATTAAAAAATAATTAATACAGTACAGAAACTTAATTTACTTACAGTTCTGGGTGTTCTTTGCTCAGAAAGCTCTCACAGCAGACATCATTCCCATAAATTTTGCTTACCTTTACTTTCTAAACTACTTATTAATTATAAGTAACAGAACCCAACATAAGGTTTCTGTTTGTTAGATAGCAAGTGGCAATCTAATATAAGTTCCATGTGTAAAAGTCATGAAATAGGACTCTTTTTCTTCCTTTCTCTAAAAAAAGGAAAAAAAATCCAAAGATTTTTACTCTCAGGCCTATTAGTTATTCAATATTCTACCATCTACCCTTATATAAGGTTTTGTTTTGGGGAGTACGGAACATACCTTGCCCCAAATGATGTATTATGCATATCTATTACAAATGAACAAAAAGGAAATCATAGATCAGGTTTCTTATGTTATAGTCCTGAAAGGTCAGTTTTATGTAGCCTCACTACTATAGTATAATTTTCAATTTTAAAGAAACAATCAAATAGCCAAATAAGAATTTTTCCCTCAAATGACTAAGATCCCTGGAATTAAATATTCATTCATCAATATGTGGCTTATTAACATATACAATCTTTTTGGCATCTTGCTCTTAAATATACAATCTTAAATTTTCTGTAGTTTCTTACTTGGATAATACTAAAAATCATTTTCATTTATAAACAAGTATGAAATTGCAACAAGCTATTTAATCAGAGCATATGAAATGTCCAATGAAAAACAATCCAAGACAGCACAATTAGAAGCTGTGAAAATTTTACCTTAATTTTTCTCTCAGTGTCATCTAACTTTAACTCTGCTGAAACTAGTTTCTTTGCCAAATCATCTCGTTCAGGTAGGTGTCTAGCTTCAGAGATCTTTCTCAGTTTCTCTAAGGAAAATTTTGTCCTAAATAGTTCACATTCTGCATCTTTCACCCTTTTTTCAGTTGCTCGTTCCTTCTCTTGAGATTTTCTTAAGCGTTCTTTGAGTGCTGTAATTTCATTGTTATGACGAACTACAAGTTGTGAGATTTCAAGTTCTGCATCTTCAAACTTATTCAGGGCTTTCTCCTGTCTGTACTGAAGCCTTTTCAAAGCTTTATTTTCTTTTAGCAGCTCAGCTAACTTGACCTGAAGTTCAGATACTTCATTCTGCAACTCATTGATTTTTAGCAGTCTTGCAGAAAGAACCCGTTTTGTGACAATATCAGAATTTTTCCGAAGTGGTTCTCTATTGAGGCTTTGGGAACGAATCCCCACTTGGACTCCTTTTTTGTTTGGTAGACCCTTAGGGCTTGGTTTCCTAGAGGCTAAAAAAGAGACAATAATAATATACAGTGAAAGCTATACCAAATGTATATGTAGTATCATTTATTCATCCAAACACATGTGAGTCCATAACATTCTTTATTTTTGTTTTCAAAAAAGAATTTTTCCTGCCAGGCATAGTGGCTCCTGAGGCTGAGGCAGGAGGATCTCAAGTTTAAAGCCAGCCTTACAAGGGGGAGGTGAGTGAATGAGTGATTGAGCCCCTGAGTTCAATCCCTAGTAACCAAAAAAAAAAAAAAAAAAAAAAGATTTTTTCCAATATTTTGTTAAATATCAGATTTTATTTCGAGCGCCAACATATTGGTTTAGGTACTCACTTCCCTAAAGAGCTCTTAATATATTTCTATTAAGAAAGGTTTAGGGTCTTCTAAGAAAGATAAAGAATATTCTATCCATCAAAAATGGCATCCCATTTTCCCTGCATGAACCAGGCCCTGGGGTTCAATCCCCACCATTGGGGGAAGGATTATTCACACTGCTTAAAAAGATGGCCGCCTAGAGTTGTAGCTCAGTGGTAGAGTGCTTGCCTAGCATGTGTAAGGCACTGGGTTCGATTCTCAGCACCACACAAAAATAAATAAATAAATAAAATAAAAGTATAATGTCCATCTACTACTAAAAAAATTTTAATAAAAAAGATGGCAGTATCAGGCTTTAACCACCTTTAATTTTATGAGATGACAAGTCAAAATTCAAACAGGGGCATCATTAGCATTAGAATGCTATAAAATAAACATTGGCCAAAACATTGTGATATTTAAGTCATCTATGCCAAGAAAATTGGAATCCTTATTTATTTGGTGCTAGGGATTGAGTCTAGAGGGGCTTAACCACTGAGCTACATCCCCAGCCCTTTTCTATTTTTTATTTTGAGACAGGATCTCACTAAGTTGCTTAGTGCTTCTCTAAATTGCTGAGGCTGGCTCTGAACTCACAATCCTGCCTCAGCGTCCCAAACTGCTGGGATTACATGTATGTACCATGATGCCCAGCTGTAATCCTTATTTTAAACATGAAAAGTTTTCTTCTGTATTAATTACAACTCCTTTTCTTCATTTGGGGAAACAGAATGGCAGCTTATAGTATAGTGAGAAGATTTGAGATTCGAGATTTACCACTTAATAACCCCCTTGGGCAATTCAATTAAACCTTTTCAATTCTATTTTCTCAACACACAGGATGAAGATAACACTATATACATAAATAGATTGTTGTTAAGTAAGGTATACATGTAAAAGAGGAACTTCTTCAAAGTATTCTCTGTTAGTAATAAGAACTTATATCCCAATTATCAGAAACTGAACAAAGGAAAACAGTTGTACAAGTGTGTTTCTATATACTTTCTTGGGAAATTTCTTTTGTGTAATGTTCATATCAAAACATCAACATAATTTGAGAACAAGAAAAAAAGATCACATTCTATTAAAAATAAGCATATGAAATATTTTAAAGTCTACATATTAAATTGTAACATTCTCAAAAATTTGGTATGTTTTATTTTTATTAAAAGTTCATTAAAATTAAGCCTCAATATACAGAAGTACCTACTTGCCCTTTAAAAGAGTCATCTGAAAATTTGCCAGAGTTAAGATAATAAACTTTAATCTCTGAGGGGTTTTTTTCTCCTCATTTTTTTCCTCTCAAGGAAGAAATACATTCCAGATTAAAAAGAAAGAAAAGAAAAACTGAAAGATCCAATCTTATACCCTTCCCCATCTCACTATTCATGGATACCTGATTCATTAAGGAAACAAGAAAAAATAACAACTAATTTTTATAATTTTACATTATAAAGTTTCATTGAAAATATGAAAATTTCACAGACTGTTTTGAATGTACACTGATTTAGAATTCTAGCTCTATAAATGTTCAGATATAAAAAAAAAAAGTGGCAGCAATAAAAGAAATGAGAGAATGACTGATTGAAACTATATCTATCCAAGATGGTAGACACTAGCCACATACAGCTTTGGAGAAACTTGAAATGTGGTAGTCTGAATAGAGATATTCTATAACTGTGAAATACATACTAGATTTTGAACAGTTAGTTTAAAAATGCAAAACATTATACTATTTCATACTGACTATACAGAAATAATACTTTATGTTGGGTTAAGTAAAATTAATTTCACCCATTTTTCTTTTTTGATGTAGTTACTAGTAAATATAAAATGACATGTGTTGCTTACATTTGTGACTTGAATTACATTTCCATTAGACAACATTGCTTTAGAATGTAATTTTGAATTTGGAATGTCCATTATTTAAATTTCCTTTCCTTCTTAACAACTGAGATAGCAGAGTTTTGAGTTATAGACTATCTACTCTGAAAGGATTGATACATGTTGATAGTTTTCAAATTGAGATGAAATATAATGTTAATAGAAGTAAGAAGAAAAAAGATAATTGGCTGTCCTGTTTGACATTCTTCTCTCCCTTGTTATGTCACTATCAAAAAATGGGTGGAAAGATACTGGGTTTTTTCTTCTTACTTCAGTTGTTCAAAATGAAATGTGACTCATTTTTAAAATTCAGTAAAAATAAATTCTGTATCTAACAAAAAATCAAGATACGTTTATATTACTGATAAGAAATAAATATGTAATATACAAACATGTATAACCAAAACTATTATTGTTATTATACAACCAGGTGCAGTGGCACACTCCCATAATCCCAGCGGCTCAAATAAAGAGCCAGCCTCAGCAAAAGCAAGACACTAAGCAACTCAGTGAGACACTGTCTTTAAATAAAATACAAAACAGGGCTGGAGATATGGCTCCGTGGTCAGGTGCCCCTGAGTTAAAGTCCCAGTAGCCTTCCCCTAAAATATGTTATTATACAAAGAAATTCTAATAATATTATTTTATTTTAAAAATAAGATTTGCTGAAAATTTATAAGAAAAGAAAGAATATACTATAAAACATGAAAACCTGAGAATTCAAGTGATTAAGATACTGCTTTCATCATATTTGTTTTTCCTTAATCTATATTAGTTGCAATTAAAACTTAGAGAAATTAACTTGGTGTTCAAATAAAAATATCAGTTTAGTTCTATTATTTGATCTAAGATGGACAAATGAACACAGGTTTTAATTCAAAAGACAGTGGAAAACAGAAAACAATATGAGACAGATGGAAAATGATAATTGATAATTCCTGGTTGATACTGGAACCATTTTTCACAGCTTTTTCTCCATATCTTCTCAAAAAGATAAGGCTTACCAAATTCTGACTCTAATTGGGTGACTTGGTAAGTTGCTTTTGGGGGAGGAAGGAAAAATTAAAGTACTCCTTACTTAATAATACCTTAAGTATGTTAATAATTTCTTAGGAATAACAGGCATTTTCTAAGATCCAATTCTAAAAGATATTTGCTCTTAATTATAAAACAGAAGCTTAAGATCATGCTCTCAATTATGAAACTAACAAGATCTTCTCACTGAAACAGGTTTGGAGGAAGGGATCCATACCCCACCATCCCCCCAAAACACTGTGCTTGTGGCAGGGGGAGGCACTCAATTGTTAGAAATATGGGCATCCCTGAGTAGCCAGATAGGGGCTAAATTAGGGGTCCATGAAAAGACTGCTTTCAAAAGGAATACATATTCTTTGTAGTTTTTAATAGTATCATCACTTTTCAAAGTAAAAATTTATAAAAGCAAATTAAATTATACCCATGCATATATCTTTTCAAAACTATTCCCCACAGAAATAGACATTAATTAAATTATATTATCATAAGATGCAAGGTATTTCATGATATGGCCTCTATTATTCTTTCAGCCTCTAATTTTTATCACTCTTCTGCCTTGCAAGTTTTACCAATCTAAGCTACTGCTGTTATAACTGTGCTTTTTAAATGCATACAATAATTACCTCACATACATTTACCATATTTTTCTAGGCTGTTGTTACTCAGTACAACGAGATTTCTTGACCCGAACTTTAATAAAATGAAGAAATTATAGAACACTAGGTAACCAAATATGTTCCAGAATAGTAACATTTTAATAATAAAAATATTTTTAATGATTATAATGGAGATCGTAACACAAGGAAAAAAATTAGACTGGTAGTCCAAAATTCCAACCGTATTCCTAGTTTTAATTCAAACTTCTGGAGTCAGCAATAAATTACCAAGGGTAAATAATTTCACTCAAACTATAAAAATGCCCCTAGCGACTTTATATCAATATCTTTCACTACTTTTTAAAAATGAAGATACAGAAAAGTACAACTGTCTCGTAGGTTTTCTTTTGGTTTTGCCTTTACAGGAAATACCTTAGAGATCCAAAAATAAATATTTACTTAGGAGGAAGAGAAAATAAGCAGCCTTACGTTATTTTATTTTGTATAATGCATGATTTTGAATATTAAAAATGGAACAGATAGACCCATTAGCAAGGCTTATATAAATTTATTAAAATATAGCCTATTAAAAATGTAAATCAGCCTACATCCACGTGTATAACACTATACATACTAATAGAAGACTTCCATTCGTACAAGTTTTCCTTAAGCATTGTACATAATCTTCTAGATCCACAGAACTCTTCTAAAGAATACTTACATTGGTAATATACTTGGTTATCTGATGCTTGTTTTTTAGAAGTTTTTCCCATAGTAACTGTAGGTGAAGAAGGACTAACTGGCGATGACTGACCAGAAGACTGGGATGTAGTTCCAAACTCAGAGGAATAATTAGAGCTATGTTGTTTGTCTGCTTTTCTTTCTTGATCAGCATTTGGACTTTTTGCTCTTTCCCCCATTGTTTTGAAAAATGGTCTCTAGTCACATAAATTCATAGATTGATGACAACACTGAAGAACATTTTCATAGTCTTCATAATATTATTTCCAGGCAATTTATTTTTTCCACGATATATACTTAGTCCACATTCACATTAGCACCCAAGATACACTTTATTCCCTATAATTAAGGAAGAGGAAAGGAGACTTATCATGCATTCATGGAATACATTTCTACAATTAATTATAATGTAAAATACTAAAAGAAAAATAATATACCATTTATAATTTTTATAAGATGCTATAATTTATCTATTTTCACACATAAGTTTTTGACAGTATTTGGACAAAAGACAGTTTCTGTCATGGCCTAGAAAGAAGATAACATGCAAAGTACTTAAATAAGTGTTAACTAATTTGATTCCCTTGAATCTTAAGAGTTATAATAAACATAAAACTTGAATCTTAACAGGGCAATAACCACCAATATTTTTCTTTTTTTGCTTAGTGGGAGAACGAACTTGCAAATCTGTGCAAAGAAAAATACCTAATATTTACTACAAAAAATGTAAAAATTAAGTATACTTTTAAAAAATTAAAAGAAAAGGCATTTGACAAAAAATATTTCCAAACATGACAGGAAAATGGTTACCATTTGTAACATGTAAACAAATACCTCACATTACCTAAGAAGAAAAATATGAGGACAAAATATATAAGACCCAAAAAGGCAATACAAATGATACACAAAAATGTTCATCCTCATAACATTTTTAAAGCTATCATATTATTAAATTTTTTTCAAAACAATAACACTGTTTGCAGAGCTGCCATCAGGAAAAATCCATGGAATTTTGGGGGAAAAAAGTTGGTAAGATGTATTAAGACTTTAATTGTTGTTCCTTCTCGCCCTGCAACCGGCTTCTTTATCATCATCATCTTTTTCTATTGCCAAAGATTGAACCCAGGGGTGCTTTACAAGTGAGCCACATCCTCAGTCCTTTTTATATTTTTTTTTTAGAGATAGGGTCTCACTAAGTTACTTAGGGCCTGGCTAAGTTTCTGAGGTTGGCTTTGAATTCTTGATCCTCCTTGCCTCAGCCTCCTGAGGTGTGCACCACCATGCTGGGCTAATTGTGCTTTTAATCTCTGATTCAATAAAACCATTTCTGGATTCTGAGAAAATGACTCTAAAAATAGGGAGAAAGTCATATGCAAATGTCTAATGGAGGACAGTACAATTTTTTTAAAAATGGAAGCAACCTAGATATATAACCATCAGATTAATTAAGAATATAATTTATGTACTATAAAGTCCATACAGCATAGTATTTGTTTACAAAAAGTTTGTGTTCAAGAAAAATGCTTATGCTATTGTGGTAAAATAAACAAATTCCAACTAGTTTATATAGTATGATCTCAATGCACATATTTATTGAAAAGAAGATTAAATTACTAAGTATTCTTCCTATTTAAACTCTTGATCCTCCTGCCTTGATCCTCCTTTTAAAATAACTGAAAACAATTTACAAAGCAATTTACAATTTAGTCCACATTCACATTAGCAACCAGAAGATACACTTTATTCCCTATAATTAAGGAAGAGGAAGGGAGACTTATCATACATTCATGGATATAGTGTCTGCCTAAGCAACTTGGTTTAGATTTTTGTATCTCTCCTTTAAAATATTTTGTTTTCTAATACATTCACATTAGACTACTTTTAAAATGAGAACAGTTGCTTTTAATATTTGGAAAAAATAATCTTATTGATGAAATTAGCATTAATAGTATAGTAATCCTAGGAATAAATGAACAGATGCACAAGACTAAAATAATCAAAACGACCATCAATAAGAAACTGACCTTAGAAACTGGAAACATCCACACAATGCAGTACTATGGAGCTATTAAAATAATGAGGACTTTCTTTGTATATTTGCTAGCAATCTGAGTAATTCTCCAAAATATATTAAGAAAGGTAGATAGATAAGAGCATATATAGTGTGTAGTATGGTTTTGATATGTTTTTTCCCCAAAGGTTCCTATGCTGGAGGCTTGGTCTTCAGTGGAGCAGTGTTGAGATTGGTAGAACATTTAAAAGATGATGTCTAATAAAAGGTAATTAGGTCACAGGAGCATCACCCTTGGAAAAGATGAATGTTAATCTTCCATTAAATTCTCAAGAGAATGAGTTATTATAAAAAGACTCAGGCACCCTGATTCTCTCTGCTTCCTATCTCACCATATGATCTCTTCTTTCATCCTTCATACTTTCATCCAGTGTATGACATCCACCATGAGGCCTTCACCAAAGGCTGAAGAACCAGGGCTACCCATTCATGGAACACCCCATAAAACTATGAGCTAAATAAAGTTCTTTCAAATAAATTTATTTCTTTATAAGTACACAGCCTTATTTATCAAAGGAGAATAACATATATTTTTTAAAAAGTGGAAAGATAAATCAAATATTTAATTTTTAAAAATGAGTTATCTAGGGTAGACTGTCCAAATAGAACTTTCATCAAGGATGTAAAGGTTCTATAATTTGTTATGTCCTGTGTAGTAGTTGGTCACATGTGGTACTGAGCTCTTGAAATGTTGCTACTATGGCTGAGAAATAAATTTTTAATTTTAATTAATTTAAAATGTAAAGGCCAAATGTATGGTGGTTAGCTTATTGAAAAAAACAACTACAGCATAACAGAGGAAAAAGAGCTTGGAAAAGGGATGGAAACTAAACTCTTGTATAAACCTATGTGTAGACTTGACTTTGAAAATAAATTTTTAAAAATAAAATTTTTTATAAAGCAATTCCTATAAATCAAAAGAAAATAAAACAAATCACTCTAACTGCATATATAATTAGTGGCAAAAATATACAAAGTAACCAGTTCAAATAACTTTAAAACACAACTTGACTTTATTTCCCCAGAGAGATATATCCCAGTGACAAAGCAATAAATTAAGGGCTATTTTCAGTAATTGTATCATTGGTATTGTTATTCTCAGACTAATACATGTATTAAGATAAAGCAAATGAGTAATTATTGTTGTTGAGCATGGTCACTAGAATTTTCAACAGGAAAAGACAAAATTTATCTAATAATATAAACTCTAAAATTCTGAAGTCCAAAATTTGAATTACAAGTATCAGTATGAACTTAAGATGACTTCTTTTTTTTTTTTTTTTTAATATTTATTTATTTATTTATTTATTTTTTTCTTTTTATTTATTTATTTATTTATTTTATTTATTTTTTTTTTTAATTTTTTATTGTGGGTTGTTCAAAACATTACAAATTTCTTGACATATCATATTCCACACTTTGATTCTAGTGGGTTATGAACTCCCACCTTCACCCCATACACAGATTGCAGATTCACATCAGTTACACATCCATTGATTTACAAATTGCCATACTAGTGTCTGTTGTGCTCCGCTGCCTTTCCCATCATCCACCCTCCCCTCCCCTCCTCTCTCTCTACCCCCTCCACTGTATAACCCTGAGGGTCTCCTTCCATTACCATGCAATTTCCCTTCTCTCTCCCTTTCCCTCCCACCTCTCATCCCTGTTAAATGTTAATCTTCTTCTCCTGTTCTTCGTCCCTACTCTGTTCTTAGTTACTTTCCTTATATCAAAGAAGACATTTGGCATTTGTTTTTTAGGGATTGGCTAGCTTCACTTAGCATAATCTGCTCTAATGCCATCCATTTCCCTGTAAATTCTATGATTTTGTCATTTTTTAATGCAGAGTAATACTCCATTGTGTATAAATGCCACATTTTTTTTATCCATTCGTCTATTGAAGGGCATCTAGGTTGGTTCCACAGTCTTGCTATTGTGAACTGTGCTGCTATGAACATCGATGTAGCAGTGTCCCTGTAGCATGCTCTTTTTAGGTCTTTAGGGAATAGACCAAGAAGGGGAATAGCTGGGTCAAATGGTGGCTCCATTCCCAGCTTTCCAAGAAATCTCCATACTGCTTTCCAAATTGGCTGCACCAATCTGCAGTCCCACCAGCAATGTACAAGTGTACCCTTTTCCCCACATCCTCGCCAGCACTTGTTGTTGTTTGACTTCCTAATGGCTGCCAATCTTACTGGAGTGAGATGGTATCTTAGGGTGGTTTTGATTTGCATTTCTCTGACAGCTAGAGATGTTGAGCATTTTTTCATGTACTTGTTGATTGACTGTATGTCCTCCTCTGTGAAGTGTCTGTTCAGGTCCTTGGCCCATTTGTTGATTGGGTTGTTTGTTCTCTTATTGTCTAATTTTTTGAGTTCTTTGTATACTCTGGATATTAGGGCTCTATCTGAAGTGTGAGGAGTAAAGATTTGTTCCCAGGATGTAGGCTCCCTATTTACCTCTCTTATTGTTTCTTTTGCTGAGAAAAAACATCTTAGTTTGAGTAAGTCCCATTTGTTGATTCTAGTTATTAACTTTTGTGCTATGGGTGTCCTATTGAGGAATTTGGAGCCCGACCCCACCGACTGTAGATCGTAGCCAACTTTTTCTTCTATCAGACGGCGCGTCTCTGATTTGATATCAAGTTCCTTGATCCATTTTGAATTCACTTTTGTGCATGGCGAGAGAAAGGGATTCAGTTTCATTTTGTTGCATATGGATTTCCAGTTTTCCCAGCACCATTTGTTGAAGATGCTATCCTTCCTCCATTGCATGCTTTTAGCCCCTTTATCAAATATAAGATAGTTGTAGTTTTGTGGATTGGTTTCTGTGTCCTCTATTCTGTACCATTGGTCCACACGCCTGTTTTGGTACCAGTACCATGCTGTTTTTGTTACTATTGCTCTGTAGTATAGTTTGAAGTCTGGTATCGCTATACCGCCTGATTCACACTTCTTGCTTAGCATTGTTTTTGCTATTCTGGGTCTTTTATTTTTCCATATGAATTTCATGATTGCTTTCTCTATTTCTACAAGAAATGCCATTGGGATTTTGATTGGCATTGCATTAAACCTATAGAGAACTTTTGGTAATATCGCCATTTTGATGATGTTAGTTCTGCCTATCCATGAACAGGGTATATTTTTCCATCTTCTAAGATCTTCTTCTATTTCTCTCTTTAGGGTTCTGTAGTTTTCATTGTATAAGTCTTTCACCTCTTTTGTTAGGTTGATTCCCAAGTATTTTATTTTTTTTGAAGATATTTTGA